ATGTATGTATGTATGTATGTATGTATGTATGTATGTATGTATGTATGTATGTATGTTTTTCCTTCTAAAGTGGCAGGGTTCTGGGCCATTTGGCCAGGTTCTTCCTAGGCAGTTTTGCCTCACTGGCAGCGGCGCTCAGGGGTCAACCACGGAGTCCATGGCCGCCGGTGGAGGTCGTCAGGCCCGGGACTTCAGAAGTAGTCGACTTCCATGCATGGGTCATCTTGTCCGGCTTCCTCTTCCCCTTGTTCATGGGGGCTGCTCTCGTGGGCGGAGTGGTCACCCCTGGGCGAGAAGCGGAGTTTCTTTGGTACTGGCGGGGACATAAGTCCTGGGGCGTCAGGGTTGGGCCCTGCCTGTGTCGGTGGTGGCTGGGTTTCATGGCCAGTTTTGGTGGCTTTGGTAGCCTGACTGCTGCCCTGACTGTGTTGGCTTTGGGTGCTAAAGATCTGCACCAAGGTTGGTGAGATTTGGCTTTGGCCCTGGCATGGTTTCTTGAGAGCTTTGGTCAAAATGACTCGGTCTTCTGCATCGAGGTGGCTCTGCGTGCCGCAATTGGTGCAGCGGATGCCCTTCCCCTTCTGCCAGAGCGCATGTGTGTGGTGAGCGTCGTGATCTTTGGCATACCTTTCGTCTATGCAGCGGCTGTGGAGGAAGTCGCGGAAGTTGGCTTCATTGGTCCTTTTATGGATGGACAGGCTGCATTTCACACACTTGAGGTATCCGGTGGTCTCCTGATAAGTATGCTCATCCGGGGCCTGTGGGTGCTGTTGTTGCACTTCAAGCAGTTGCTTTATAGTGCTGGCCCTCGTGTGCCTTTGGCCGACCGGTTTGTTTGGCCGGAGGTCAGGTTCTGGGGCTTCATGGGTCAGGAGTTGGCAATCCTGCTGGAGGTGTTGCTCAATGACTTCGACCGTTAGGCCCTGATGCACTCGGGCGTGGCAGGTGTGGCATTGGTACCCGCTCCGGTGAGGGGCCCATTGGTGCTTGTTTGGCTGCCATGGGAGCTTGCATTGGTTGATGAGTCGTTTCTTGTATTGCTTCGTGGTGTGTCCCGCTCGGCGGACTGGTTTGTCGTGGATGTAATGCTGTGGGTCTTTGAAAATCTTCTCCAGCCGGGCTGCTGCCTGCTTGTAGATGCGCATGTGGTCCTGGTCGAGGGTTTTTTGCCAGTCCTCAGCCTGTTTGTCGTAGAGTGTGCATGCTCGTTCGTAGGCTGCAAGGGCAGCATCTCGTTGTCTCCGTCGGAGATGGGGTTCATTGCCGGGTGCTTCCGGTGTTCGTGTGTTCTTGTGGATGTACAGTGGTGTGATTTGCTGGAACACGTGGTGCTCAATGCCTTTGGTGAGACCTTCAAACCCATGCCGCTTTCGTGGGTTTGTCCATGCCTCCCAAACTGACCCCAGCTGAACGACCACATTCACCGGCGTGAGGACGTGCTGGGCTAAGGTTAGAAGACCCTGGAACAGGGCGCGTGCCTTGGTTTGGGGCCCAGGGGCCATGCCGGTGATGGTGCCTTTGCGAAGGAGGGCTCCATCGAGTAGGTGTGGATGCAGAGCCCAAAAACCCATGCTTGGGACCGTGGATCATAGGACGACGGAGTGGCGTCAAGGGTCACCGACAGTCCTTGCCATGGCTGAAGTGGCAGGGCTTCGAGGGAGCTCCAGCACCCATGGCCTTGTAGAGGTTGGGCTACTTGAAGGTGGTCCTGTGGTTCCCTGGGGATCCACCCATGTGCCCACAGTGGTTCTTCCAGGGGATCTTGTAGGCGCTCAGTCCATTCCACGGCAAGCGGGGTATGGTCTTGGTTGTGGTGCCAGG